TTGTGTCTCCCGTCACACGGTGGCACCTCTGATCCGACAGCGCTGGTCCGACCTGTGCACCCAGTGACTTGTCGATGTGGCAGCTGAGTCGCACCCTTCCTCTCTTGCTTTGTCCTGGGGGCTTCCCAGATTTCCGGGGTCCTTCAGTAACTGGCCATGCACCCTCCAGGCCAAGGCAGCTGATTAAGAAAACCGGAATGAGGTCTGCAAGTCACTCGGGGTCGAGGAGGAAGTGAAGTTAGTGCCCTACGTGATGGAACCGAGGAGACCGCTCCCGGAGCACCTGGACTAATTCCCTTGGGCTCTTGCAGTGCATGAGGTCTGGATGCTGGGTAGCTGCTCTCTTCTGTTTCTTGAACTCTTCTGGCATTTAGGACTGTTGATGTGGATATTTAAAACGAATACTTGCTTGAATGGATACCCCGCCCCCCACTGTTAGCCGCACAGCTATCTGCGGCTCTCTGGCCATTGCAGATCGTTCACCTCCAGGAAAAGTGTGAGAGCTGCGCTGGGAAGGAAGTGCATTTTTCCCAAGGATGCAATGTGCTGTGGACTGTTCCAGAGCCAGATTTTGTGCCCAAGAATAATTTCCATCCAGTCTTGCAGCTTACTAATAGGAGCGATCCTGTGGCAGCACAGTCTCGTCGGAGGCACTTGGAGCATCCTTAAAGTATCGAGCCCTGGTACGCAGTGAGAAGACTGGGAAACCCGTCTGGGGCAGCTGACCCCGTAAATGCCTGACTGCCACCAAAAATATGAGACACGCGTGATGACATCGATCAGCGGCCTCGTTATGCACCAGGAACTTCCTTGGTCCTGATGGAAACAGTGCCCCGCAGGCATGCAGACAGCATGAGAGCTCCTTGGGCACGTGTACGTCACTGCTTTCCCGGTGCCATTGTGTCTCTGGGGCTGGCCTCCTTTCCCACAGAGATCTTGACCTTTGTGGTGGAGTAGACAGGGCTGGAAAAGGCCTTTCCTTAAGGGAGTGGAAAGGTATGAGCCAAGGCGACATGGCCATTGTTACAGATGACAGAGGGAAAGCTCTGGACACGTTAATTTATTGTCACCTGCAGAGGAAGAACAAATCTTGAGGTTTGTCTTGGACCTGGTGGAGAAGCATTGTTTCAGGAACAAACCCTGGGAGGGCCCTGGCCAGGGAGCCTGGCCTCTCCCTCCATAAATCACGCTGCGTTTACAGTGGTAATGAGGTGCAGCTTCTGGGAAATGAACACTTCATTGCGGCACACACCTGACCGGCTGAGGCACAGGGCTGGGGATGCTTTGACGTGGCCCAGAGCTTGATTGGGAAACTTGCCGTTTGAACCGGGAAGGGCTGCATGCCTCTTTTGGAGCTTCTGCCACTGGCAAGTCAGAGGCATCCGGGCAAGAAGAGCTTTTTGGGGGCGTCTTTCAGCACCAGCCCATTCTCCAAGGGTGCAAGGCTGGCGTTGATCCAGAGACAGGGCGTGCAAGGACTTGTCCTCTTTCAGATCCCCGTTTTGCTGCTCGTGGGAACACGGATGATGATCAGGTGTTGGAGGTACACACTTGTTCACTGTAACCTTGTGGCCTCCCATGCCGACCGTGTTATTGGTGCACAGAATGCGTATCACGATGGTCTGTGATCCCTTATCTATCGCAGCCTAGACAGTATGTTCGTTTGTAAGAAGACATTAGATAAAGTCTTGTCCAGGACGGTTTGGACAGGCTGATCCTGTCTCAGGCAGGGGATTGGACTAGATGTGATCTCTAAACCCTGCTTCCAGCCCTGCCTCTTTATGAGTCTTGACCCAAGTCAAACAACAAATATTGCGGGCTCCTTTGCTGACAGTAGGACTTGGGAGGAGACCGGCATGTCCTGGGAAGATGGACCAGAAAGTCCAGTGTAAATGCTTCTGTTTCTGGGCAACTCCCTGCAGTCTTACTTAACTGCACCCGTGTGCTGGATGTTTGCAGGCAAAAGCAGAGCGAGTCGGGTAGCTCGAGAGTAAAAATTATCAATATACAAGCAGCCTCGACTCTACTGAAGTCAGTGGTACTAGGTTGTCTTGCACCATGAGTAAATTTAGCCCTTCAGCCTCTGCCTGTGGGGAGAAATAAGCAAGACTTGGCCTTTTCCAGCCTTTCCAGCAGGTTCCCAGTTGCCGTCCCTGTGTGGGTGCTGAGCTGGGGCAGGTTGGCCGGGAGCAACGTTTTTGGAGAGTCCATCTCTGTGCAGCGACTCCTGGTTTTGCACCAGCTGTCCTGCCTTATCCACGCAGCTGGAGTTCAGGCAAGGCCAGAACTGGTGAGTGTTGAAATCAGAATAAATTGATCTTAATTGTTCTCGCCCTGTGACTGCTGTTTGTAAACAGAAAGCCGGTCTCTGTTGTCACACCTGTCTGACCCCGGAGAGGCAGCACTGGGCAGGTGTTGCTGAGTAGTCGCTCCTGTAGAAGGAAGCAGCAAATTGGGGAGGGAAGGAACGTCCTCTCTTACAGATCTGCCAGGATTTTCACTAATGGTGGAGCCACGCTGCTGCAAGCCTTGGCTATAAGCAGTGCGGGCCAGGGACTGCACCAGGAGGGAGTGCAGCTTTCCTTGGCTGCACTGGCATCGTGCATGGATGCACATGGGATAGATTTGGTGTAGCCGGCGTTTCTTCAAATACCACAGCACTTATCGATGAAGGCAGCCCCAAGAGGAAGATGTTGCCAGCACCGGCTGGGTGGAGGCGAGCGTACCCCTCGCAGCTGCCAGGTCGTACAGCACCACCCTGTTCTGTCAGCTGGCTGAGCCTCCGTATGGTAGCATTATACTGAGGCAAATTTGCTTTGGAGAAAGAAATGTTGGTTGCCAGCCTTCTCTTCCTCCTCAAGCACCCTTCTTGCCCTGCTTCTGAAGCCAGGGCCTGACTCTGGACATAGTGCCGGCAGCATCCCTCACCATGAGGATCACAAAGCTCATTTAAAACACTGAGCACTCTCCTAGAAAGGTGCTGTCCTACAGCAACAAGGACAACGACGCGAGACCAGAGGAATCATGGCAGCGATTGCCAGTCCTCAAGCCCTGCCATCCCATGGTCTTCCAGCAGAAATCCTGGAAGAGGCAGTGCCAAACACCTGGGAGTGGGGTGGCAAAACCCTGGACCGTGGCTAGGACACAGGATGGTTGTCCCCAAGCCTGGCTGTGATGATACAACCCAACAGTGTCTCGACTGCGGAGTAAACGTGAGGTGCACGCGCACTTGTGGCTGCAAATATGGACTCAGAGCTGCAGCGAGATGCAAGTGTTACCGTGGCCAGAGCCTAATGACTTGGTCCTGAGCAGTGCTTGTGGCAGATGGGCCTCACCTCTGCCTTGGGACGGTGGGCAAAAGAATAAGGCACAACACCCAGTGATTAAAAACAGCATATTCAAAAAATATATCTTTATTTCCAGCCTTTGTGCTGTTAAATATTCAGTTAAAATAAGATGCATTTTATTGCACACTCGGGCACATTGCTCTTTGCTCTCCCTGTTTAACATACATGATCACTGTATAAATGCAGACCGTCTCCAACAGCCGGTCCCACAAGCACAGGAAGTGCCCATCCTTGCCATCTGCATGGCCTGCCCTAATCAGCTACAGGAAGGCCATCGCAGGAGCTGGCTGGGAAGAGGGGACTGAGCTGTGGGACCGAGTACACCTGTCCTTACATAGCATTCCTGTGCATGTGGCTTTGGGTCCAACACACGTAGGAGAGAACAAAGGGAACTCCAGCCTTGCCGCCAGGCTCAGGCCCGCTGCACTGCGGGCCATGGGGATTTTGCTGTTCCCTCCACACACTACAGAATTGGGATCTGGATGTTCTTGTTCATGTGCTTGCAGCAGGGAAATTTATAACTGAAAGGTCTAAGCTCTCCTGGGAGAAAAGGTACAAGCAGTGACACTTATAGCAGTTGGTTTGAAATCCAGGGACTGTCTCAATGGGCTGGAGGCCGAGAGGGTCTGGGCTGTGGTGGTACTAGTGCATGGAGCATTCATACAATCACAGGAAATTTGGGTTGGAAGGCAGCTCAGGAGGTCACATCTACTCCAACCCCCTGCTCCAAGCAGGACCAGCCCTGACTACATCATCCCAGCCAAGGCTTTGTCAAGCCAGGTCTTGAAAACCTCCAGGGATGGAGAGTCCACCACCTCTCTGGGTAACCTGTGCCAGTGCTTTACTGCCCTCCTAGTGAGAGAGCTTTTCCTAACATCCAACCTCAACTTCCCTTTCTGCAGCGTAAGCCCATTGCTCCTTGTCCTGCCATCTGCCCCCACTGCGAACTGTCCAGCTCCATCCTCTTTGCAGCCCCCCTGCAGGAGTTGACAGCTGCTATTCGATCCCCCTCAGTCTTCTTTTCTGCAGACTAAATCAGCCCATTTCCTTCAGCTTCTCCTCACCAGTCCTGTCCCCCAGCCCCACAACTGTTTTCATTGCTCTACACTGACTCTCTCCAATGTGTCCACATCCTTTCTGTTGTGGGGGGGCCACAGCTGGAATTTGGCAACAGAGGATACTAGGATCAGTGCATCTTCTGTCTGCTCTTCCCGTCACACCTGGCTGCAGGGACGTCAGAGCAGCAGCTGTACTAACTGCTGGGGATGGGGATGGGGGATTTGTTATCACTCTGCCCTGGGGGAGGAGATTTCTTCTCCCTCCCAGCCCTGGTGATGCTCCATGCTCTGGGTGTTGGCACAGACCGCCCTAGCACTGGGGTGATATTTGAATGGCGGTCTCAGGCCAGGGGTCTTGGGCCATGACTGAAATGACTGTGAGAAGGGGGTTCCAAGGGTTCCCAGCACCTGCACAGCTCAAATGAGATCCTGTGGGTACAGGAGCAGCTGGCCGGGCTGTGTGAAGACAGGCCTCCCCTTGTAGAGACGAGTCTCATTGTTCTGCCTTCACTTTCGGACACTGGAAAGGACTGTTTTGGGACTGACTTTAGCTCCCTTACTCCAATGGGGTGATAACTTGCTCTAGAAGTGGTTCTTTTGGCTTTAAAGTTCTCCCCCTGGACCAGGAGCCACGCTGGCAGTAAGGCCTTGAGTGAAAGGGGATACAGCTTAACAACGCGTTTTCCTTTCCACTAGCAGCATGTGGCATCTGGGTGGATTCCACTCTCCTCCCAAACCTCCCTGTCTCCCAGCAATGGACTCTGGCCTCCCCTAAGGCCTGGCCTGGCCCGTGCACTGGGATGCCGATGAGGAGCCGCAAGCAGTCACAGCATTAGCACCAGACAGGTGAACGATGTGCAGCTTGTCCACAATGTTTGTCATTGTCTTCGTGAAGACACGAGCTCTCTGCTGCTGGAGATGCCAGGCCTGCCGTGCCCTCTGGCCAAGCCCTCATGCCTGGTGTTTGCTCAGGGATGCTTTTAACAGAAAGCTCCAAATCTCCCACTTAGAGTCCAAACACCATCTACCCCCAAGGGCAAACCCCCAGACGCATGCCCTTGGCTCCTGGGTCACATGTCCACTGTCTTTGGCACCGACATGAGGAGATCAATATTGCCTCAGCGGCTCTCGGTCTCTAGTGTGTCAGGCAGCTGTTCGGTAAATGCGGTGTCTAGTCGCAAAGTGCTGTAGTTGGGTGGGGGAGTCCTGGGCAAGTGATTTTCCTGGGGCAGCGGCAAGCGAAGGGCAGTGTTAAAGGTTGGCAAGTCCTCGTCGATGCACGCTGGGTTGTCATGGCCCTGCTTGCCCGGACCGGTCCCCTGGGCAGGCAACTGGCTCTGCTTGGCCTTTCGGGAATTCCACCATTTCTTTGTCTTCTGCCAGCGGCGCCGCATGATGATGGAGAGAGAGTCAATGAAGAAAACCTCAACAATCTCAATGACACACACCACGGAGCAGCTCATCCACAGGCCCAGCTGGCCCCCGAAGTTGGAAAGCAGAATGACAATCTGGAGTAGCAGGGAGCACAAGGTTATTTGGAGCTCACTGGGAACAGCAGCAGGGGTGGTCACGGGGTGCACAGCAGGCCGGACAACAACGGCTGCCTGCCTGATGGGGAAGATTGATCACTAGGGGAGGGCACAATGGCACGGGCCAGTCTCTATTTCCTGCCTACTCCACTCTTGCTCCAGAAATAGAAGCCAGTATTTACATGGAAACGTCTCTTAAGCCTAGTTTTGGGGCAGCTGATAGCAGAGAGGTGCCCATGTCAAGGAGGACAAGGACTGAATGGGGTTTGGAGACTGTACGAGATGGTCCTGCCTCAGGCAGCGGTTGGACTAGGTGACTTCTGGAGGTCCCTTCCAGCCCCACTGCTCTGCGGCTCTGACTGAACACCCTCACAAGCCTGGGGACGGTTGCCAAAGGGCAGGATGGCGGGCACACTGGAAGGCACCTCGTGGGAACCTTTGTCCTGCCACCACCTGTGCCCAGCACATCTTGGGGCTTTGGAGCAGCTTTCACCAGTGCTGAACTGAGTCATACTTACGTTGTTGGCAGGATTCTCGGAAATGAATCTCTTGTTCAGGTCTTTGTAAAACACCATCAGGTTTGCGAGGTCCGTTCTGAAAAGGGAGAGGAGGGAGCAGATCCAGGCGTTAGTAAAACTATAACATGAGACGCGCTGAAAAATTATTTAAATAACCAGTTGGACAAGTAGGGCCAGGCCAGTCCAAGAGAACTGTTTTTCCAATTGCTGTCATTAGGGCTGCAGAGATTGTATCTGAGCTGGAGACACAGGCTAAGAACACCCAGGGAGAAACTTACTTCTTTAACATCTTGTTGATTTTCTGCCCTTTGTCCCAAGAGAGGACCCGGAGCATCCAGTCCTGAGAAAATAAGAGCACAAAGCAGCAGCCGTGAGCACCAGAGTGGGGGCCCCAGGGGCGAGAGCCCACCTCATGCCCGCTTCATTCAGATAGGGATTCCCGGCCGGACCAGAATGCCTGGTGCGAGGGGCGGCCAGGACCCAAGGGCAAGGTGGCAGTTCAGGCGTGCAGCTGTCTGGGTGGGAATATTGTCCTTGCTGCTGGGCCTGGAGGCCTTGTGTGCTGCAGGTAGAAGCACTACAGGGCTGCTCTAAAGGTGTAAAGGTGCCTCACTTCAGAGGCTGCACCACAGGGTTTACCTGGCACTGTGGGGCCTGCAAGGCTTCTTCCCTCCCCTTTCGTTCTGACTTGCCATTCTCTCTGTGTAACCTGCCTCCCCACCATGCAAAATCTAGGATCTTCCCACCATCCTGGAGGGGGCTGTGAACCCCTGGAGGATGTGGAATGGCAGCATTAGCAGCCTTGGCTGGAAGAGAGCGCGCCAGCCATGCTGGAAGCAGCCCCTATTACCCTCATGGCGTCACAGCTGAGCACAACTGGGGCTTACCTCCGAAGCGGTGGATGGCCACTGGGCTATGCTGGTGGTGAGCGCCCACTCCTTAAAGCTAGGAAGGGAAGAAGCATTGTGTGAGCCACATGTTTGAATTCTTGCCCGCAGAAAGCTTTATATTTCCTGCCTGGTTTGTGGTGGGACATACCTGCAGGCTTCTTTGCACTTCTGCTGACAGTCCAACTGCTCCTTCACAAACTTCTCATGCAACTTATAGTAGCAGTACACTGGAAAGAGAGCCCAGGGTCAGAGTCTCAGGAGGACATGAGGAAGACTGGTCATGGGGTGACTGCTAGGATGGGGCTTAGATTGAAGATCTACCTTGGCCTTACTACCTCATCTGTGTGACCTCAGGCAGGTCCCCTCAGGACCCCTTTGGGTCTCTGCTCCAATACTTTCCTTACACATCCAACCTCAAACTCAGGTGGGGCCTCTGAATGCTACTGTAATACCAATTATTAATAAGCACTTAGTGAGGTTTAGAGACAAGCTGGGCATGAGCTTCCAGGCTCAGCAATGAAAGGATAATCAGTGTAGCCTGTGTAAGTGTGAGGCAGTTTGCTGTTTCCTACTGCTCCATGGGCTTGTGTTGGGGGTCTGGTGAGAGGGGATGTGCCTGTTAGGGGCATTTGCTGGCTGCAGCTGGGCTGGAAAGGAGCCTGTGTGGGTTGCTCATGCTCTTAAGAACTTACTCCAGCTGGGATGTTTCTTGTAGTTGCAGTACTCAGCCCCAGCAGGCAAGGGCTGGGCATACTGGGCACAGCCGCAGTGATCCACCATGGCCCTCTGGAAGCAGGAGTGAAGGCAAATCTGTAAGGGGGGAAAAAAACCCTACCGCTGAGTTTCTAGGAGTTGACAACTGGGCAACAAGGCCCCGAACCCTGTGTGCAACCCCCTTCCTGCTCCATGCACGCAAGGCTGGAGCTGTGGCAGCTGCAGGATCCAGACCCTGATTCTCTGTCCCTCCCCTCAGCGTGTTGAGAATAACCAAGGGCAGAAACCCCATCGCACCAGCTGACCAGGCCCGCTGCTGGCTGAGTCTAAAACAATGACACGGGGGGACTTGCTCCTTGAGCAGCAGAGAAAAGCTGGGCCAGAAATAAAGACACTTTCTCTTGTTGCAGGGAGCCTTGGTGTTACCCTTATTTCCTCCCCTGCCTTCAAAGTCTTCTGCACGCGTCTTCAGCCACCCAACCTCGAGCTGCCCTGCGTTGGAGTCTGAGAGCCAGGCAGCAAGGGTGTGGAGGTCAGCAGAAAATGTCAGCAGATTCTGCTCATTTCTGCTGATGCCTGTTTAGCAAATGGCATTTCCCGGGACTAGCAGACTTGCTGCTCTGTTTCATGGGCATTGCTGACTACAGCACATCAAATTTTCTGTAGGTAGGCACTGAGCTTCCCACTGTGCACAGGGGTCCATGCTGTAGTGAACTAATCCTACTGGGAGCCCAGAGGCCGTCTGTCTGACCCTGTCTGTCCCCCCCATCACAGGAGGCTGCATTGTTAATAGTCATTAAAATGAAAATTAGCCCCTTGGCTCTGGATTTACAAGCAGCAGGTAATACAAGCGCAATTGGAATTATAGCCCTTGCGGTGGAGAATGACTGGCACCCTTGAGGAGGAACCAATTAAAGAAGCTATGCAAAATTAATGGAAAATTAAATCAGCAAGCATCCTGCTAGTCAGACACTGATTAGATGGTATCAGTTATTTCTGCAGTCCTACAGGTCACAGTTTCTGGCTTCAAGGGCTAATAAGCTGCAACATTTGCTCAGCTGGGATTCGCTAGTCCAGCAGTCCCAGAAAAGTGCCTGATGAGTTCATTCTTTCTTTATCTGACAAAAATCCCCAAGGCAACTTCAACCTTCACCTGCTTGGGAATAGTCCTGACTTACAAAGTACTCTCATACTTGACAGCAATGATCCAAGACACTTTATCCTATGCTAAAGCCATTGCAGGTCTTGGGGTATCACGGTAGAGTGCTGCAGAGCTGTTTATACATGTCATGCCCAAATATTTGACAAAACAAATGTAACAGCCTTACCTGGAGAGAGTAGGTCTTGTTGTAGAGGTTTTCCACATTTATATCTGTGCCAGTCTCTGTGCAGTCGCTGTATGGTTCACTGAGCTTGCGAGACTGCGTCTGAAACCCAGAGAAGAGCAGATGTTGATCTGAGAGAGTACAAATGAGCTGAAGGACAGAGACCACCGAGTACCACTTTGCTGATACCCAGGGATTGACGTTCAAACTGTAACAAGGATGGGGCAGGTCTGAACTGTGATATGCCTTTTGTTGCTTCACTGAAATATTCTGGGGCCTCTTAATAACTTGCCAAAATGGGTAAGGCTGCAGCTGTCCGTTCCCCCCACACCTGTAGAGATGGGTGTTATGGATGTGTGAGGGTGAATGGTGACACATTGTAGTGTCAGAGGTGAGGTTTTTCTTTGTTTAACTTTGCTGGTGAAGATGCCAGCGAGCCTGGTACCTGGGCACTGCAAAGGATTATGGCTGGACTTACTGCCACAGCAGTGATTGGGCAAAACCCACGTAACCAAATTATGGGACCAGCGAGATGCTGCATCTTCCTTCTGCTTCCTACATCTGTACAACTAGCTGTGCTTAGCACAGAAGCTGCCTATTTAGAAACCTGGCAGGCATGATCCCCAAGTTATGAAAGAGGGGCATAGCTTCTGTAATGTCCTCAGGCACACTTTGAAATCCAGGCCTCTCATGGTCAGTGCTGGGCTCTTCAGGCAGGTCCTCGATATGGCAGTGGATTTTTAATAGACACGTGTCATTTTTATAGAGAACTCTGCCCACCTGTACCAACAGGATGTACCCTTCTGGATTACAGGCCACGTTCCTAATGCAGTTATGGCACTGAGCCCATGTCTAGGTCAGAAACGTTGACAAAGCTGCTTGTGTGCAACACCTGGACTGTACTGGTCATTGACTTTAAACAGGTCTCGTCTTGGTGATGGGGAGTGCAAGCCCCCCCATCACCAAGACAGCGATTTATTTCTGTGCGCCAACAGAAATGCGCGTGCATCTGCTGTGTGTCTAGAAACCCACACTTCCATGTGAGAGATCATTCCTGGTCCGGTACCACCCCATCTGTCCCCTCATTGGCATGGGTGCAATGCACAGCTCTTAGCTGCACTCTACTTTGCAGGTGCAGGAGTGATCAGGGGGCTCTGGAGACCCCATGGCTATGCATGAAGCAGTCGTAAATTGGCAATCACAAATCTCTCCTGATAGCCTTTAGAAATAACCAGCGTAGATGTTTCTTTCTCTTGGTAGCCCCTGTACAGATATGTCACTTTTGGCACTGACCCTCCTGATGCATCAGTCTGCAATCAGGCCACCTGTGGGTGCCAAACCACTTTAGTCCTATCTGACAAATGTGATTCCCCCAATGTTTTCTACTGCGTGAGATGATCTTTTTTTTGGGTGCCACGAGGTTAATCACCTAAAGATTCAGAATGTTTTTGCATCTATTTTGTATCAGTTACTGGGAAGAATCTCAGGCTTGCATGGCCTCAGTTTTTCCTGTCTGGATGACCATTGTTTTTTTGCTGAGTGCCATGTCCTGACTAGGGGCTGCTGATGCCAACAGATGCCCAGCACTAGCTTTGGGGAATGCCAGGTGAACAATGCCTTTCAGCGATACCTAGCTGTCCTGGTAGAGCTTTACTAGTGATTTGCACAGATGGGAGGTCTTATCTGGTAGGCAGCAAACAGGGCTGTGGACCCAAGGCTGGGTTTGGAGAGAGATAAGCCAGAGAACTTGTAATGTAGACTGTGTTGGGCAGGGGTGTGCCTGGCTGTGCTGGCAGAAGAGGACTCCTGCTCCCCCCAGGGAAGTGGTATGAGAAGAGGGGGAGCAGAAAGCCTCCTGCTAGCAAAGCTACATCTGTCCCAGGGGCCCCAGCCAGCCTGTAATGCAGACAAGCCCTGAGCATCTACAGATCTAAACACCCTGCTGCTGATGGCCCAAGCTTGGCTCCACCCTAAAATCCACTAGCCTCATTGAATCCTCCTCCTCTGGAAGGCAATATAAACATGGCTTTCTCCTGCTTTTTTAAAGTTGATAGCTGGTGCCTGGGCTCTCCAAACAGCTGGCTGATAGCACATTTGAAACAGTCAGCCTGACTCCTGCTGTCCTTTCTAATGCAGGGAGCTTTGGGATGTGGCACACCCAGCCACGCCAAACAGCAGTTTAGCTGGTGTTTCTGATACAGCCAGCCTAACAATCCTGACTTCTCTGCCCATCCAGGTGCTGGGAAAGCTTGTATTACTCAACTTTGTCATCCCAGCAACTCAGCAGAAACCCCTTGGGTCACAAGGCTTGGTTTGCACTTCTGGCATCTTCTAGCACTGCACTGATGCCCCCCACGCTGGCTAAATACTCATGTCGGTGCAAAGGCAGCACCCAGAAGGGTCTTCACGGCCAGGAGAGTGAGACAATGAGCAAGCACAGGACCCGTCTACCCCACCAAAGCAGCCATGCATGGCTTGTGCTGTTTGGACCTGGCTATAATACAGTCTGACACATCTGCTCTGGCTAGCTCAAACCTGCCTCAGCCACAGCTGTGTCTATACTGTGCTACAGCAAAGGGTGTGTGCTACTGTCTGATGGGGGCTAGATTTTTTGCGATAGAAAACCAAGTCCTTAAGCAATCAATGGGGGGGTGCACACAGAACCCTGGTTGGTGTGGGACTCCTTGAGGGTTGGCTCTCCAACCATCCTCTGTGTGAGCAATAAGGCAGGGTTCAGAAAACTGCCAGTGCATATAAATGCTGGTTATTCCCCTCTGGCCTCGGAGTGTCAGATCTCCAGACCCAGGGTGTAAATGCACCTCTCTACCTCTGTGCTGACACTCGTGGCTATGCCACATTCATTTTGGCCTGTCTCTCACACATGGCATTGGTATCTGAAAGCTGCATGCCCGGGGAGCAAGATCGTAGTCACTCACAAAATGCATCCCTATGGAGGTGGCAGTCGCTGTCTCGATCTCTGTGCCGATATCTTCAATGAAGGGATATTCGTTTTGGTCGTGGATGATGATCTTGGCCCCAGTTGATGTCACCAAGAAAGGATTGTAGTCTGCTTCCTCTATATAAAGGACAACCTGTAATCCTGCAGAACAGAGCAATGGCATGCTTAGACTAGGATATCGTGATCTCTATGATCCTATAAGCTAGAGCTCTTTCTCCATGGACGAGGCAGGGAGAGCAGCACAGTCATTAAGTACAATTGTTAAGATACCAGTTGGGTGTATTAATGCCAGGCCAAGCACAGCTGCAGCTATTACTGGCTTTTGACAGCATCCAGCACGAGTAACAACAGTACCAGTCGAGGTGGTTACTGAATACCCATTAAAAGTTATATAACAGGGAGGAATGATTTCAGATGGAACATGCTGGTGATGCAATGATGCCACCTCTTTATTCTTTAGCAGTAGTCCAGAGAAGAACTTGTTTGAACCCGGCCAGTCAGGTTACACATCTAACGCCCGCGTCGGCTGCCCTCCCCCCACAACCAGAATGATCAACATTTCACTGAACAACCTGCCTTCTACTACCATGGTTCCTTACCGTACTCGCTGCCTCCTGTGGAGGTGCTCAGGATCGTCCCATTTTCTCCACTGTTGAAGGTGTAGCAGTTGCCGTGCAGCGGGTGATAGAACGGAGTGAAGTTTCTGAAAGAGACCAGAGATGCTGTTCATGCTGCGTTCTAACTGCCTGTGGCAATGCAAATGTCTCGCCTTTTCTCCAGCCTGAGCATCTAAACTCTGGTGATGATGGAGAGCAAGCAGGGCTAGACCGTGGGGTGTTTTCCCCCCTGGAAAATCTGGTTTTGGTCATCTTGACCCTATGTGTAAATGTGGCCTGGACTCAATAAATTGTTTCAGCTGAGTTGTGTTGTTTTCCACCCCCTCTGTTCCCCCTGGGCTAGGTTAAAAAAAGGAGTTAGTTGAGCCAGGGCTGCTGCTCATCTTGTATCCAGTGGTTGGGGCTTCCACATGGGATATGGGAGACCTGGGTTCAATTCCACCCTCTGCTTGCAGGGTTTGACTCTGTTACTTTGCCCCTGCCAGGGGAATCCCACAACACCAGGTTACAGGGTATTTCTGAGGGAGTAAGTCTCCCTCAGTTCCTCTGCTGGAGACCGTTTCACTTTGTAGAAAATACTATAATGCTCATTGAGCTAGCAGCACAGGGTGAGAGTGACTGTCTAGCCTGGTGGCTCATGTTCTCACCTGGCAGGTGGGATGTATAGGTTCCAGTCTATCAAATATTTAAGTATTTTTATACAAAGTGAAACAGCATCAATGGGAGGTGTTAAGAGCAAACCCTTTCCCTGAACATGGTGTTTTGTGGCAGCTGGGGCATTTCCCTGGGAGAGGGGTGATGCTCATTCAAGGCAGAGGAGGGACTGGAATCCCAGCCTGGGCTGGCTCTGGTAAAAGGAGGACAGTGGCAGCAGCACACTGAGTGATGACTAAGCCTGGCGCTCAGGTTCTTTTGCTTGGTTCTGGGGAAGAGAAAGCAAAGTGATCGTGCTTCTAATGCCAAGAGAAATCCCAGCATTTACACTTCAGTTTTGATTTAAACTGAAACATTTTTTTTAATGGCCTGGTTACTGAAGTGGAAAATTAAGTGTTTGCACAGCCCTAACAGCAAGTGCTTAATGGCTTTTGGAACTGGCATGACCCAACTTCTGATATAAAGGGCAAGCCAAGCCGTCTTGTAAAAGGGGGTGTGCTGGAGTACCTGTGTCTACACTAGGGGAGTCTGTTGGCACAATTACATGTTGGGAGAGTACAAGGAGGTGTGACCCCAGACACAGCTCCCTTGACACAAGTCTGGAGCATAAACCTGGCTTAACTGTCTTAACAAATGCTGGCCCTTCTAGGTGGGGAGTCTAGTCAATAAAGACTAATTAACGGACAGTTCAGAGTTGAAGTGCATGGACCCCTCCATGTGGCTGCTCTCATTTGGAAGTCAAAGTGGCTGCCTCCCTGTAGCCCAGACACCATGAGCATCTGATGTGCTTCAAGGCCACTTTGACTTCCAAATGAGAGTGCCCGTATAGGGGACCACACACATCCACTTGACATCACTAGAAAATCCTTTTTATATCTCCTGCAGCTACAAGCTGTAAGGTGAGATCCTGGTTTCCTGAAGTCAATGGGCGTCTTGCCATTGTCTTCAGCCCTCACTTCACCTTAACAACACACTTACCTGAACCAATTCAGCACTGTTAAATAGCACAGCAAGGTCAAACTAACATCACATCATTAAAGTAACATTCGTTATTCAGACTGAAAGAAGACTGAAGTCTGTAGTTTCTCTTTCTCTCTCTGCACTGTTTCCATTATACCTTTTTTAATTCTAGCTTGGAAAGGGGGTCACTTCTTCTTTGCCTCTGTTTGGTTGCCAGGGCAGGCAGTTTCATTCCCAGCTTGCAGGCATGGTGTAATTCTGCAGGGAAAGCATTACTGCAGATTTCTAGCGCAATTAGAGTCGTGAGGACATTTCTATATGAAACCTACACTTCCAGCAAATTAAACACTGGAGTGGGTATGTCCTGTGGGCTTTGAACTTGGCAAATAGCAAATAACAAACATGTAATTCCTACACGATTTAGTGTTAGAAGCGAGCAGCTAGACTGGCAAGTAATTTTTGTGCACTCACCTTGTATCACAAGACAGGCCATCAAAGAAACATGTTAGCAGAAGGTCATCAGCCGAATAGCCCATATTCACCTTCCTCTCCAGGGGAATTTGTGCCATGATGTTCATATAATGCAGTTTGTACCATTCTTGAATAGCGTTGACACCAGAACTGAATGTGTAAACTGCACAGTCGCTGCTGTTGTTTGGGTCACACTAATAATTAGAAAAGGGAAAATGAGTGTCAGGCAGGGAACATTTGGTGTATTGTATTGAAGCATCTGCAATGTGGTTATTGCTCTATAATACTCCTCACACAGGACATTTTTAGTGGCAGCAAAGAGATGAATGGAGCAGTATGGAGTGTGTAAGCCCAGGAAGAGAGGTTGCTCTTCCAAAAGATACAGGGTGGTAGCCTTCAGGTAAGAGGGCTCTGTGCGTCCTACAGGAAACCATTCCAGAAAGGTATGAGGAAGCAAAGTAGCCCGCTTGAGGGTAAGTAACAAGTAACTTTTCTTTGGAGGATGCACTTCAGAAACTCCGTATGTTTAGCCCTGCAGAAGCACAACCAGTTGCCTGGTGGAGCTGATGCAGGGGGTCTAGGAGGTGACCGTTTCGTGCTCCGGGGAGAAGGTAATGGGTGGCAGTAACAAGGAAGCAACCGAGGCTAGATTTCAGATGGTGCTTTCTCCCCGCTGGTTGCAGTAGGGAGTGGAACCTGGCAGAATGGAAATGCTCAAGGAAAGGCCAGAAGGATGTGTGCTCATTTTAAATTGCACCCCATGTCAGGGACTGGACGACGGACTGGGAGATGCCCTGAAGGTTCCCTTTATGCCTCTCTGAAACCATGCTTCACTCCCACTCGGACGCTGCGCTCAGCAGCTGGTCAAACAACACCCACGAACTTTGGCTCTAGCATACACCCACCCCGCCCAGCAATGTGCCCACTCACCAGCTGAAAGCCGATCATGTTTTGTGGATCCCCAGTATTCGTGGACCCTTTGTGGAAGACGTTGGACTCAATTTTCCGCTTGTGCCCGCTGTGAAGGTCGGTGGCTTCTTTCCGAATGAGGTCCTCGAACCTGAGCAGTGGGACTTTCTCAAGGTATTGATACTCTGTCACGTTCCTGTCCTCTGCATCCCGGCGGACCTTGGGTTTGCCTTCTGAAAACCCGTATAAAGACTCCAGTGCGATTCTGGTCTCTTTGTCCAGCTCGGACAGGTACTCTTTTATCACACTGTACCTGCATTGGGGAGAAGGGGACAGGAAATAATGTTTGCAGTGCTCTTCCAGTGTCATCTCCTGCTCCAGTTCTCAATGCTGTTTTCTGTCTGCTGTTCAGCATGGGGACAGCCAGCTATTCCTCCCTCCCCTGCCTAGACAGACTGAGCACTGACACGGTACCTGGCCTACCGTTGGGAAATGTTATCAGTGGAATTCTGGGAACTGGCATGGGGAGTATCAGGATCGTGGTGGGATCATGGAGGAAAATTGTGAACAGAGCTAGGCTGAGCTGTGGAGGAAGTTGTTGTAAAATCTGGACTCTAAAGGCATTGTCATGGAGCTGGAGGAGCAGGAGAAGCAGCAGCAGATAGCGCGGGTCTTACATTTATTGCTCAAGTGAAGACTACAGAGATGAGTAAGATGGGTAGGAAATGGCAAAGGGATTCGCCTTGGAAAAACATACAGCAGCGGGCGGCGGGGAGCAGGGTAGACAACAGTCTGAGTTGCAAAATCCTCAGTGGGCAAAAGAGCTGCATCTCAGCTGGAGCGGCTGAGGGAGACGAGGAACGGGAGAGAGAACAGCGAAGGAGAAGCAAGAGGGCCGTGCGGGCGGGCAGCGGGGGAACCCGACAGCCCCTTTCTGCATCCCTCGGAGACGGCCAGCCTGGGGTCTTGCCCCAATAGCCTGCTCCTGGGAAAAGGGAGCTGGGGGGAAAGGCAGAGAAATGACCAGGCGACGGATGGGCAGCTGTAGAAAGATTACATCCATCCGGCTCGCCCCAGCGCAGGAGAGATGAAGCCCCGGATTACAGGTGGAGTGCTCAGAGCAGCAGCAGCGGAGGATCCCTATGCCTGAGGAAGGGTGCTTGTGCCCCAAAGCTGGCAAAGAACTTTTTCTCTGCCTATTATCGCCTAATAAAAGAGGTCCCATTTCCTGGAAAAGCCTGGCCGCCTAATAACGACATCACGTCTACCCAGAGAACCTGGCCCGGTTGCAAGCCACGCAGAGGACGGCCGCTTTTCCCGACTGCTGGGGTGGTCTCGTAGGAGACACGGCACCCTCCCGCGGCCGCTCGTGCGATGGGAGGCCCGGGCCGGCCGG